AAAAAAAAAAAAAGAAATATTTTAATATAACATCCAACAAGTTAGTACTGCCTCTAGCGGTAAGCATTTATGTTAGACTTCAATATTTCGGACCGTTTTATACTTAGCACACGTGTCATCATCTCTTCAGTTAGTTTCCTTCCTCGTAACGTTCAACAAGCATCGGTCAATCCTCGGGTTTAATCGAGATTAATAAATAACCTTGATAATATAGTGTGAGTTTGTGCGTTGTCCCATATACATACAACTAACGAGAACTTTTATTTTACTTTATATATCTTCTCTTTTCATTTTTTTTATTTTTTTTTTTATACACGAGATCTCGAATATTCATCCACCAACCACAAACCACCATCATCATCATCATCATCATCATCATCATCATCATCATCATCTTAATCCCATTGATATTATTTCAAATGATTATTTTCTATTTGGTTTTATTGTTAATATAACATTCGTTCGGATAAAGTTTTGTAATTAAATATGTACATGTTGAGAATTGAACTTTGAAAGGTGTCTGAAAGGCGAGGGGGTGGGGGTGGGGGGGGAAATAATAAAGTGATCTATTATATCATTGAAATTGTATCTAAAAAAAGAAGATATGTATATATATATCTTTTGTTAGGAATGATACGTTTGAAATGAATTAAGAAAGAAATATTAAAAAATATTTCATGGAAATAGATTGAAACAATTGATTTAATTGACGTGTGATACATATATGAATGTATTTTTTTTTTTTTTTTTTTTTAGAAAATATTACATTAATCTAGGGAAGCAAGTATAAATATATATTTAACGTTTTATAATAGAGATGTACAAAATCTAACTTATCTTATATAACTTCAAATAGTATAATCTCTCTCTCTCTTTCTTTCTTTTTTTTTTTTTTTTTCGTTAATCTCGAATTTAACCGATAAGAGTTTATATTAGATAAGTACCCATTATCCTATCACATATCCGTTCTTTGCAACATGTGCCTTTAATAATGGTTTACAGTGATGAAAATGTAATACATTAATTGTAATTATTTGATAGAATATTTTTTTGTTCACGTATTCGTAAAATTATTCGAAAAATGAGATATATATTTATATGTAATAATAATATATTTGATA